GTCCTGTTCAAAGATAATTGAGATTCCTCACGGTGGTGCTGGAGGCCAGGGCGATGCTATCCAGCAGAACTTTATCTATAGATCAGAGGTTTTCAAAGTGGGAAGGGAGGGAAGTGGGAATTTTCAGGGGAGGCTCAGTGAATGGAAGTGAAAAAATATTACATTAGTTATTACTTTAGTTATCAGAAGTAGGTCACAGAGAACAGACAAAATTTGTGTGATTTGGTCAAAGAGATTGGAGTTAATTTTGGGGACTTTACTGACTTTCCCACTTTCCCAAAGTCAGAAACTAATAAATGGACAGACCTTTTTATGTATTTTGGTGCAGCAATATTAGCGGTCTCAGCTCAGCTGTTTCTATGTCATCCAGGAATTGAGTGAAACTCAAGGAGGAACCTCCGGGTCTGCAAAGTGAAGCAGTGCTGAAGCACCTTAAACCTGGATTCTCTCTAACAGCCAGCAGGGGGTCTCAACTGGCTACAGAAAGAAGTGTGATTGTATAGAAGTCTATGACAAAATAAGGCTACTTCTCAGCTGAATTACTACCTCAGTAAACACTTTCCTAATGAGTTTATGGTCTCAGTCGCTTACGATGTGCTTATACAATAATAAAATCCGACACAGGCTACAGTACCCTTCTCGCAGGTCTGGCTGCCAGAGATAAGAGGAGCGTGCGCTTGTGTCTGTGTGACGGCAAGAGTCAGATTTCGCCCACGTTCCGCTGTCAGGTGATGAAGGTTTGCTGTTATAAAACAGCCCTGTGCCCTGCAGATTCTGCAGATCCACCAAACATTTTTTTTTAAACAGGCTCCACCTCTGAACCAAGAACCCTTATTTTGACAGTTCAACGCGGAAGCTGTTGTTGAGGTAGTCCTGCAGGCTGGTCTGACCGGGGATGTACCGTCTCACTCCTTCACGGTGATTAAAGATGGAAACCCTGTCCGGTCAGGCGGCCGGTGCGGAGCCGGAGGTGGCCCCGGTCCCGGTGGAGGTGGACGCTGCGGTGTTCCTGCTGGGAGCGGGAGTCACGGCCATCACGCACCCGCTGCTGTACGTGAAGCTGCTCATACAGGTAGCTGATGAAGCTAACGGCTAACAGTTCCCGTCATGCACTGCTCTGTTGTTGTTGGGCTCCTCCAAATGTTCCTGTGTGCTCCTTCAGCTTAGCGGTCACCTGCAGCGCCGGTACATTCAGGGCTGTGATCCAGATAGCAGGGTCCGGCTGTGGGGTGTTGTGGTTCCGGGGACCCGGAGCTGTGGAGTTTGGCTAATTGATCTTGAACTCTGACTGATTATAACCGCTCTGTCTGTCCTCAGAGGTGTACAGAACATATAGATGTCATTTGTTTTCCTGCAGGAAGTAGAATAGTAGCTGTGATAAATTCATGACCAGGTGAACAACAACAACAATAACTGCGTTGACGTCTGAAACAATCGATCACAGAAACAGTAAGTTAGTGCCTCACAGGAGGCGAGCCTGACTGGGGTCCCCAGCCGCTCTGGGTTCTGGTGTGGGCTCAGAAGGTCGCCTCCTTGGCAGACAGACTGTCTCTGTTATTTCCAGGTGGGACATGAACCTCTTCCCCCCGACTGTGGGCACGACCATGTTCGGACGGAGAGTCCTGTACCTTCCGGGCTTCTTCTCTTACGGTAAGCTAACTGTGATCGTTCTTTATCTTGTTGTTTGGTGAACTCAGAGCAGGTGACAGGAAGTGAACTTGTTTTCAGCACATCACATCGTGAAGGTGGACGGAAAGAAAGGACTCTTCCGCGGCCTGTCGCCTCGCCTCGTGTCCAGCGCCATCTCCACTGTGGTCAGGAGCAAGGTGAAGCAGGTGAGCAGGGATTATCTGGATTATTGTTTAGTTTGAATTTGTAAACTAAACTTAATCAAAGTCTGTGTCTCAGCTGTTGAACAGATCATGAACTGCTTTATAGGATGCAACGCCTCTTAAAGTGGAGATTTAGAGCAGCAGAACAACACAATCCAGACCTTCAAAGACTCATCAGGGGCCAGGTTCAGATTTCTAAAGACAGTCATCTGG